GGTTGGAACCATTTTCACATTGTTAAAATGACAGGAACGCCATCTTTGGGGTTGATTTTATGGAAGGGTTTTTGGATCAAAATAAGATGCTCTGTTAAATTGTCTAATACTTATTATGATACCGTCAACTTTGTCATATTGTCATTTTCGACATATCATTTTGGTATTATCATTTTCTACATATCATTTTGGTATTATCATTTTCTACATATCATTTTGGTATTATCATTTTAAACATATCATTTTCGACATATCATTTTTAACATTTCTCTTAGCAATATGCAAATGAGGTTAAAAGGTGTGGCTCCAGAAAAATGTTTTCACACACGCTAGTACCTCCCAAGGAAAGATAACTCGGAATAACCGCTCATCGTCATACATTTTCACCACAAAAAAAAACAAACAGTAAAACTCTGCTCTAGAGGTGAGTATACTATAATGTTCTGCATATAATGTTCAAGAGTGGCAAGAGACGACACGTCTACAACAGTACTACACTGCGTGGCGATTTCTTAAGGCTATTTACCACGGAAACTTTGCGTGGCAAATTAATAAACCCCTTAATTAGCAGTCGTGTATGGGTCGATATACTCTTTTTCCTCTAAAATTAATAGTTTGTGGTCTGAGCAAGTGTAGTGGTTATTTCCCCTTGAGAAAGTAAGAGCTGAAAGCTTACATGTCAACCTTTTACATAGATGTTCATATTTTTAGTGGTTTGTGTAGTTAGAAGAGGTTGATAGGCCAATATTTATCGTATGTATTAAGTTCTATTGTGTCCCTTTTTTCTGATATGTGTTATGGTCTGCCATTCCCTTTTTGCATATGAAATTCTATCGATTTGCTTGGTGTACCTTTGGACACAAAACAAAACACATTTGTTTTATCACAATATACTAAAGCAATATGACAAAGTTGATGGTATCATAATAAGTATTAGACAATTTAACAGAGCATCTTATTTTGACCCAAAAACCCTTCCATTTGATTTTCAAAATAGGTTTCTTTTTCTGTATTCCGACAGATGTCTTTTCTATATATGACAGTGTCTCAAAAAAGACGACTTGTCTTTTTAATTGTCAAACGCTGATAATTCTAGACACACATAGATTTGAAGGCTCAAATTCCAATGGTGAGCTTTGAACTCTAGCTTAGCTAAAAAAAAAAATCTCTCTGTCGACGGATCTGATTGGCTGTATTCAATGGCGTACAATTCAGTCAAATCACTGCATTCGCTGTGATACAAGAATGTTGACTATTGCAGCAAAGGTGTGAGTACTAAGTTCCTGATTGGGTTTAAGGCTATCGTAAATGCAGTTTTCCTGTATATTATAATAGAAGCAATAAAAAATCTACTTTCTCTGACAGCAGATACGAAGAAATGCATCTTTTGTGCGAGCAAAAAGAGTGGGACTGTAAAGGCTATAAAATCCGCTTTTTGTTTTTGTTCATTTTGAAGTTATCTCGTTTCCTGAAATTTTGTCGACAAGATTCATTAAGATCAGTCTGCATTTCGGCCTACCCTCTCCCCTTAGTGTTTTACAATCACACTACACCCTTCTTGCCCGTCTTCATTAGCCCACATGATGCAGAAAAGTAGGACGTAAAACTCCATTCATTTCATTTCATTTCATTTTACACATTCTTTGTCTACTCGTCAAATATTGTATAAAACTCAGTATGCTTAGCATAACAAATCTAAAATTTACATTTTCTCTTTAGTACTATTGTATGGCTAATTAACCGACGGTGAAAGTTAATGACATCAAAAAGCATAAAAGACATATTGTAGAACTGCTAAAAGGTTGAAATATGGAAATTTTAATTATGTTTTTAACTCATTTATTTAATTAAAGGTGCGAAAAATCGATGACGAAAACAGCAAAGACAAAGAACAAAGACTAGAATCTGGAAAATTTAAAAGGACGACAGTTCAAGTATTTCATTAAACAGGAATTTATTTATCATTGTATTCCTATAAATTCATTAAATATATTTGGTTATATTTCATATATTGGTTATATGTGGATCATAATAATAATAAGGATAATAATAATGAATAATAATGATAAGGAAATAATAATAAGGATAATGATAAAGCATAATAATGATAATGAATTATATTAATAATGATAATTAATGATAATACGGTGGTTTGTTTAGAACATGTTTAATTTAATTTTTTTTTATTTATGAATTAACTCTACTTTTTTAAATAAATAGTATTAGATCATAATTCAGCAAACAAAAATAAAGTAATTAGTAAATAAAATGATAATTCAGCAAACACCGTATGATAATTATATTCAATAAAATATAAATAATACTAATAATAATAAAAACGACAGTCTTACTTTAAATAATTTATCGATATCAAACGTAAATAGCGTCTAATGTGGAAATTGTAGATGTTTTTAAATCACCTTGATAATTAGTCAAATAATTAAAAAAAAATCGTGTTGTTTTTAAACTAGACATTAAAAGGTAATATATTTTGATAAGAGTTCATTATATGTCTGATGGAAATCAACGCCATCTCTGTACCTTCCAATCTTTGTCATTGAAATTGATATTATCACGGTAAATATTGTTCCGCAGACAAATAAAAAAACTCTTATTATTTTTTTTTAAATCTAATTGAAATACAGACCGGAATGCTTCATAAAAATTTTCTGTGGGCTACTTAACTCGTCATCTATGATCTGACAAAATTCTTTTGATATCATGTTTAGTCAAAGTTTGATGACTGCTAATGAGTGATGATATGAAATGTATTTGGACATTTGACTACCTATTTTCGAATCACGACTGTCGAGGGATGTTTAACGTTTTTGTACAGCCTGTATCGCCTTGGTATATTCTCCCATCCGAAAGACTCGAATCATTGGTAGGGGGAATTGCTCGGGATTAAACCTTGGACATCTAGGGTAGCTGGCAAATGCTATCTCACTGTACAACTTATTCATGATTTTGGGACAACATAAATTGAGTATCAATAGAAAGTATGAATGACAACATAAATTGAGTACCACTAGAACATATGAACGGCAACATGATTTGAGTACAACGAAAACTTGTGAATGGCAACATAAATTGAGTACCACTAGAAATTATGAATGGCAACATAAATTGAGTACCACTAGAAAGTATGAACGACAACATAAATTTAGTATCACTAGAAAGTATGAATGACAACATAAATTGAGTACCACTAGAAAGTATGAATGGCAACATAAATTGAGTACCACTAGAACGTATGAATGGCAACATAAATTGAGTACCACTAGAACGTATGAATGGCAACATAAATTGAGTACCATAAATTGAGTACCGCTAGAAAGTATGAATGGCAACATAAATTGAGTACCACTAGAACGTATGAACGGCAACATGATTTGAGTACAACGAAAACTTGTGAATGGCAACATAAATTGAGTTTTTGAATGGCCACATGAATTGAGAACAAATACAACATGAATAACAAAGTGATTTCAGAGCAACTGAAATATATAAATGACAAAAAGAATTTCAAACATCTAGAACATATAAATGGCATGGCAACATGAATTGAAAACAAATTGAATATATGCGCATTAATAGCATCGGTTTGCACCATTCCAATATTCAGCCAGAATTCTCAGGTTCTTGCTATTAATGACGCTTCTATTACCAAAGCTTCTAATACTCATTGCCGCACGTTATTATTGCTGCTTATAATTTGAAATATTTGTTTAGTTTGGTTTTCGAATATGGACGTTTTTTTAATTGCAACATACTGAATAGTTATTTTAGGCCATATAAAAACAATTGCATGAAAATGTAAGTCATGTGAGTGCAAAATGGATACAACGCATTGTTGCAGAGGACAAAAATGAAATATCCATTTCAGGTATTAAAAATTTTATATTTTCAAATGCCAATTTCCCATAATATGCCATTAAATTCGAATTGAAGATTGCGTGTTCGAGACGAATCAGCATTCCATCATTGTCAAGTCTCAAAACTTTTTCTAACAAATTGATTGTCTTAATACTTCCATTAAATCTTTAAAAATATTGACACGACGATTTCGTGTCTTTGATTTATTTCTCTGGTCCATTTTGTGATCTTTACCAAGGCCGCAAACGTCTGTTTTTTTTCAAGTCAGTTTGGTCTTTCATCGCAACGCTTTCGATGATCTTCAAACCTAGGCCATAGAAATAAAATAAACGATATCGTATATTTATATTTGTAATTTTTTAAACAAAATTTCTTATTTTTTCAAATTTTGCATGAGGCAGTTGTTCTCTTTGCCCTGGTTTACGTTCTATAATTCTGACCTCTTTTTCCCGGGTTAGTACGAGCCTAGGGTGTAGTATCAGAAGTCGCAATTTTTTTTTTTTTTTCACGATGCTCAAGGTCTACATTACATATCAAATTACATTTAGATTAGCAATATTTTGAGTTTCAGACTAAAAACTGTTTGTGAATTCTGATAAAGATAGAAATAATGTTTATGGCTTAATGGGGAATTTAGTGGGATTTGTTTTTACTTACTGGCATTTTGATATATGAGCTAGGTCTCATTAATGATATAGTAATCGGAATTATTCCAAATGCCAAAGCAGTGAATGTGTGTGTTGAAATGCCAGTCGACACGGACGGTCCTATGCACCCACTAGTTTGGTTTACACCCTATAAAATAAAATTGTAAGAAAGAACAATAAGATATATACAATCTGTACATATAAATTGAAATGAAAACCACTTTTTGCACCTTTTTTGGGTTTATGAAGACAGACAAAGGCCACACAGTGTACTATGAGGAATACTTGTACCTGATTATTATGGCAATGGTGTTAAATGGTCTTGAAAATTGGTTCCTACCAGCAAAACTATCTTTTAAATGTCATTCATATCGCTTGAGTAAAGTTTTTCTTAGCGTTTAGTGCATGAGCTTCAAGCTATTAAGAGAACGTTGAACTTCGTGTTTTATTTGTTCAAAATTCTACATTATTTACAATATGATTCACTCTGGTCGTGAACATAGTTTTCTAATAGTGTATAGCTATAGGACTCATGATACATCATCTTCACAATGTCAAGGTAAGACGAATTTCAAACTTTTGCCTTGACTGTAATAATCCCCTTTCTTGTATGGGCGGAAGTTTGAAAATTAAGCGATTTGATTGGATCGTACGCTAGAGAATACAGCGGATCAGATTAAGATTGTAAACACAAAGCCATAATGTTTGCAGCCTTCTGACGAGGGCTCTGATTGGCTTCATTCTGTGATACAAGAAAGCTGGCTATTCCAGTCAAGGTATAAGTATGAAGTTCGTAATTGCTTGACACTGTGAAGGTAGTGATACACGTACTGTTAAACTTGTATTTAGCAAGCACGTTTACTGAAGGTCAGGCTGTAATGTTTTAAGACCTGCTTAGAGGTCGTGAGCCTATAATGACCTTTGTCTCCTACGCTATTCCTGAACATGTAAATACATATTGTAAGTATAACAGTGCCAAGACGTATGGATAGTTAGCAAGATGAGGTTTTTGACCCAAGAGGAAGGCGATGAACCATCAGAAACTGCTACTGATAGTTTATTCCTTCTGATATGAATAATGCCTTTGACATTTCAGTTTTTCACCTTATCCAAATATAAATTATACTCAGTTTTCATCTTTGATATGAAGACTATTTTTATTGCCAGTATTTTTGTTGTCATTTGAATAGCGATTTTGATATACATCAGTTTCTTCTTTGGATTTGAACAATTGTGTTTATAGCCATATACCAGTTTTCTCCCTGTGATTTAAATAATGATTTTGATGTAAACTATGTTTTCTATGATGATAGTTTTTACCCAGTGATTGCTTTTTAACTAGTTCTGATTTTTCTCTAAAATCTAACTTTCCCGAATACTATCGTTCTTATTCGTAAGCTAGATATTGTTTACGAGAATCAGTATTCACGGTTGTATGATGTCAGAAAGTCAGGTACCCCCTGGGCTGTAGTTACTGGTAGTTAGGCCCAGTCAAGTGGATATAGTGACCTGTAGCCCGGGGGTACAGTGATACGTTATATTAATACTTGTATTAATAACCCTTGGCTTCTAGTTTACGGTCACTTTGACAAATATGATTAACAACCATTCTAGAGCGAAATTTGTTCAATTATATCACAACTATATATATTTCGTGTTGTTCATTGTCTGTGACTTTGTGGTACGTTTCGCTTATTTTCTGATGGTTACTTGAATCATTTAAACATGTTGAACGAAAGGGAGTGCCTTTGATGAGGTACCTCTTGATATGTTTATTTCCTGTGGGTCACTTCACTCATTCTATAGATCTAACTACGAAATTGAATGCCGGTGCTGATCTACTTTACATATTATATCTCAATGTTTGTTATCTATTGCATTTTCTTTTACTATTAGGTTATATATCATAGGTGACAATTTTAATGCTTCGATTTTTTTTATTTGTAACAAATGTAGTCACGTTTAATGCTTCTTCCGGTTTACATGAGTGATACCGGAAATGAAATATGTACGAATGTAATGAATTGAATTGACTGTTCAGAATGATTAATCAAGTGTAATGAAATGAATTTTTCTTTCTTCTGTGTCAATTCATTCTGTGTTTCGAAATAATAGCCCCTTCCACAACAGATACTAAAATAGATTCAGTGATTCAGAACAGATATTTATTTTGTGTGGCGTTCTTGAAAGGTACTATTTCAGCAGAATTTAAACTCCATTACCCTGAGCACTTTGGCCGCCTCTCGTTGTAGGTCGTAAGCCATACTTGTTTTGTTTATATCGATTTTAGCTTATATGCTGTGGAGGAGGAGACTCCAATTTTAAAACACTCTGTACATAAGTTAAATAGAAATAAGTGACTCAAGATTACTGTAGTTTAATGTACACCTCCTTGCAATCTGTAATCAAATGAAATGGATTTTTTTAAAAACAAAATCTGTTATTCTCCTGTTATTGGACTAATGAAGATGCAACTCAATACAGTGTGCCATGGGCAAAAATCGTCTAAATGTGACAGAAATCACTTAAAGATGGGTTTCCTTATTTTTAGTGTCAAATAAATCTTAAGATTAATTTCTGTTTCTAATGAATTATCATGTATTATATTTATGTTCATATTGTATATAATTAAGAGTTTTAACCAATCAAAATGCTTGTAATTTTCTTCTAATTTCGCTAATTATGAATTAACTATGGACAACATTAGAGCACCCCAACTTTCTATTCTTATAAGAATTAGCATTTTCATTGTCATCAATGAAAATAAGGGAACCCATCTTTAAATGTGAAAGATGATATTGAATTTGAGCGGACGGCAGGAAATAAGCTGTACTTCCCTGGTTCACTTTATCACTTGTAATTAGATTGCTTTTGGGGAATTTCCCTTTTTTCAGTTTTAAAGTAAGATTGTCCTGATTGCAAATAAGATAATTATAAAGTTATTGTCAGTTCATAGCTATTCGATTATCCAGACATTCGTTTCTACATTTTTCAGATCTAAGATCGAATTGTCCAGACGGTTGGTTAGAAGAAAGAGACCAATGCTATCGACCTATACCATCCTGTCTAAGTCTATTCTCTAATGAGGAAAAAGAAGCTTTTTGTCGAGCGGTGCTAGGAGCAGATATAGGCTACGTGAATGGGGTTTTATCTTGTGTCTCTGGTGAGGATAATTTTCTTTTTTAACAACTACCTAAAATACTCTAGATACTTTGAATAATTAAGAAATTCCTTTATATTTGAATAGTTTCATCAAATATGCTGAAGAACAGTAGAACTCAAACTTTTTGCCATCCGTTTGGCCAATCGTACCTCAGTCTCAGAAAGGTGTTTTCTTGTTTTGGCTAAGCTAATGGTGTTCGAAATTTGAGTCTTCAAATTCATGCGTGTCAAAATTATCCACGTCTGAAAGTAAAAATAACGACTCATCTTTTCTTGAGACAACGCCATATAATAAAGAAATCTATTGAAATAGAAAGTGAACTCCTTGTTTTCTTGTACTTCTGAAGACTATTTACATATATTCAATGCTCAAAATAAACCTCCGAATATGGCGAACCATGGCCTTCAAATGTACTTGTTATCCATTTGATTTATCAGGGGTTCTCGCGTACAAGACATTCAACCCTGTAAGTGTTGCAGGTCCGATATTCTGGCATGGTGATAGTCGTTCAGTGGGACAATAAACCAAGGCCCTTTGCGCTACAGACCGTATACATTGACGATCGATCGACTGACAAAATGGAAACGGACTCATTTACCTTGGTTATATTCAGAGCAGAAATTAGGACGAAACACACCGTTCCATTTGAGTTCAGTTTCTCAGTTTTAAATTCGACTAAATCCAACAATGCTCCACATTCCCAGATACTACACGTTGTCCCCGCCCACTCTTTACCACCTTTAAGATGAAGGAACTCATACTTGAACTCATTATTGAATTGTTTCAGATTTGAGAATTCCTGACAGCGTTTTAATGCAAATATTGGAACCCAAATCAGGTAGCTCTCTAAGCAAACGAGGTGAGTTATGGTATGATGTTTGCCAATGAATTTGGCGTATGTTTTACATCTTCACAATATCAAACTAAAACGAACTTAGTTTTATACCTTGACTACAATACACCTTTCGTGTATCCCAAAAGTCTGTAAACAACAAGCCATAATATGTCTTTCTCTAATTGGCTGTATTCGGTGGCGAATTGTAGATATAAGACGAAGAAGGCTTTTTTTTAAATAAGTGATGATCTATGCTTAACGTGGGGGACGATTGCGTTCCGATAAAAACAGGAATTACTGCTATTGACGTATACTAATGTAAGCTATTCAGTTGCGATAACACTTTGTTGTAAATTTCTAAGTGTTAACAAAACTTTAAAGTTGTATTTTCTTTGTTGATAGAGCATTGTAGTTACCTTTTTAAGTTTAAATGGCGCTTGTTATTATTTGTTTTAATCTCAATAACGCTTTCTTGTTATCTTTCAGTTTTTGGTAATTCCGGCTTCGGAAGATAGAATAACTGGCATCAACCCGGTTTGCGTCATTTCCGGTCAATGATGAAATGTTAAATAAAATTGTTTAGAGAGTTTTGTGTTTTGTAGAATTATAAAATTCAATCGCCCACGGCATCCTGGAGTACAGCAATTGGTAGTGACAAAGTGACAACATGTCTTTATATGTAAAAGCCGAATAAAATAAAGATGATTGTCAATGGTAGGGGGCTGGAGGTATTCACCTAAATGTAAAGGCCTAGAATGTAACAAATACTTCATTTAGAAAATTTATGACCTAGATCACAATTCAATATAAGTCTATAATACAACATATAACAAATTAGTCTATAAAACAACATAGTCTATAATACCACGAATTAGAATGTAATACAACATATTAGTCTATAATGCGATATATTAATCTACAATATCACACAATTTAGTCTATAAAACAACATATTCGTCTATTATACCACGAATTAGTCTATAAAACAACATATTGGTCCATAATGTAACACGTTAGTCCACAATTCAACATATCAGTCTATAATACAACGAAGTAGTATATAATACGACATATTATTCTATAATACAACATATTAGTCTATAATACCACAAAGTAGTCTACAAAATAACATATTAGTCTAAAATACAAACAGTTAGTCTATAGTACAACATATAAGTCTATAAAAAACATATTAGCCATATTACAAACAATTAGTCTATAATACAACATTTTAGTCTATAATACAACATATTAGACTATAATACTACCAATTAATCTGTAATACAACATATTAGTCTATAATACAACATGTTATTCAATAATACCACATAAAGGTCTAGTAACAAAACTAGTCTCGAATACTTGCAGTCTCAAATATTTCACAATGATAACCAATACGTCATATTAGTCAATGGTACAATATTTAAATTAGTCTAAAATATAACCTATAAGTAAGCAATACAATAATTAGTTCACAATACAACAAAAAGGTCCACAGTATTAGTTCATGGTACTTTCCAAACCAGTTGCTATTCGTAATTCCTAAAAGGACAAAAAGAGACCTCATTTACTTTTGTGTAAAAGTACAGAGGCTGTTTATTAGGTTTATATATAAAACTAGACCATTAGTATTACCAAGTTTAATATTATTAGGTTTATCATGAAACTACTTCGATCTATTACCATAGATATATCTCAACCCCAAATAAACAGGAAGACACAGTTGTAGTACTTAAGATAGAGTGGATTGACTGGCATCTTCAAAATGTCAAGCTACAACAAACTTCGTCTTATACCTTAACTACATTTTGTATCACAAAATGCAGCGATTTGATTGGTTTGTACGCGATAGAATACAACCAATCAGGGCCTTCGACAGAAAGGCTATTAACATTATGGCTAGCGAACCAAATCGCTTCATTAACAAACTGTCATCCCACAAGAAATATGACTATTGCAGTCAAGGTATAAGAACGAAGTTCGTAATAGCTTGAGGTTTTGAAGATGGAGTAGACTGACTGGTGTCTATGTTGTAAATGAGAGAAATTTAGCGGAATGGGTGAGAGACAATTGTGGCTGACAAATACACTGAGCTGCATATAGAAAAACTGTTTTCATATTGCAAAACAAATTGCTCGTGTACTACTAATTCTCGTCTGTCATTTCTTAATTGTTCTTTCTAACGAGGCATTCGATTGGTTATATATCTAATTCTCACAAGGGAGATAATTCATATATTCAAGCTGGTAGACACGTGTCATTCTTATGATGTCAAGGTATTAGAGGGATGTCTTAAACTTCAAGTGACTTTTGATTTGATTTGAAACATTTATAGATATATATATAGTGACGTATTAGAGTTATTAACATTTTTTTGGAGGCTGAAATAATGTTTAGTGTCTACAGCTAAAGTATTTCATCATAAAACTTGTCATTTTTTGAAGAATTAATAGAAAAAGAATTATACACACACTTACTCTTGAACACGAAGCACCCTTTATTTAAATACCGAGCGAAAAAAATCTATGAATGAATGAACGAATTTAAATGAATAAATGAGTGAATGAATGATGATGTACGCACACACGAAGGGAAGCATGTACGCACACAAGAATGAATAAATTAATCAACCAATCAACGAATGAATGAATTAATTTTCGTACTAATATACAAGCAATTTCGATACTAGATCTTTAGTTTCCGGTTGACTATCTTGACGACCATCCTTACCAACTTCCGGTTAAGATTAGAAACAAATTTGACTCTTAGAGGCCAATCTCTTGTGGATCAAAAAGTCAATCACAGAATAGGACCACGTTGACTTTAAGTGGGTTAACAAAGGAAATTAATTAATACTAAAAGCCGGAAAATATGGAAACTTGACAGTAATTATTTTTCTAAGTGAGATGAGTCTGCTTATGTTGGAACATTCAGACTAATCTAGTCCATGTAGACACGAGGCTGTTTTCCAGAAAAAAAATAATCTGTGTGTTGCTGTATTCCAGGCTATTCCTGCCTATATGGATTCATCAGGGATAATAGGCGATTGTAGACAGCACATGTTTTTAGGAACAAACCAATAAATAGCTTATAGCTAACAATCACCAGTGGGAGAGCTTTTAAAAAATGTCTCTACTATTTCAGTAGTCATCTTCACCTAGACCATTTTCAAATCTTATGTCATCAACATTCAATACTACTTCTACCGTAACTTGGTGTACTTTTGCACCTGGAAATCCACGACACTGCACAATGGTATTCAAGCTATTTTGCTTATTTGGCATTATTAGAATTTTAACTCTTTTAAGAACACCTGATACCACTGCCGTTTTTATCAACCTGGGATTTCTTCAAGACATCTCAAAAAGCCCGTCAAATCATGTTACTATTTCTTATATAATACAACTTCAGTTTTAGATAATTTTACATTTTATTTCTGAACACAATAATAAAATTTATATTCTGCATTCAAATACCCAAAGGATATATCAGATCTCCGAGTTTTCGTGAAATTCTATGATTCAATGGGTAAATTACAGTTTATGCAACAGAACTGTTTTTTCTTTGAACCTTCATTATTTAAAATCTGTTAAGTACTCTAGGCAATAAAATAATTATTCCCGAAATACATTTTCAAGGGCGTTGTAGTCAACAGAATTCAACGACTCACGATGTCATCATTAGTTTTCATTTGTCGAGTATTAAAAAGACCGATTAGTAAAGGTAAAAACATGACGAGAGTCAGCTGCATCAAAGGTGAAACGGTTAGATCGTCTGACAGATACCTCTACGTTACTATGGCTAAATAAATGATTAACATTGTGAACATTTTATGGATTTCATCTGGGGCATTATTTTCAATATGGCTATCATACTATGTTGCCTCTCTAAGGTTAAATTCTTGTTTAAACTTTGATAGGTAAGCATACTATCTCTCCAGTTATAGTACACAATAACAATGTATCAACATGAACATATTTTGATATGTGTATTTTGTTGATGGCTAAAGACTCGCAAAAAGGGAGATTTAAATCTACTTAAAAACGTCATATTCGGTTATCATCAATATAATATCCGGTTAGTTCAACATCTTTTCAGTTTGTTCACAATATCTCTGCTCCATTTACAAGGTTTCTAATTAGCTCTATTTTAAATGTTATTGAAACCATCTCAACTTTCAAATAATTCCCGAAATTTACATGTATTTGATTGGTCATCTATCCACACATACGACTGACCAATCAGAGGTCTTAAATTAAAATAGATACAATAATTTGTCATTTATTCTTATTTACACACAGTAACCCATTCGTCGTACTCGCAAGTCTTACACGTAACGTAACAGCACCAGAAAAATTTACAATGACAACGTTCTGTACGTTTGACACGTAACGTATTATACCCGCGTCCGCAACACAGCGTTTCGCAATTGTTTATACCACCGCTTGTTTTATTGCACAATCGTCCAGTCGTACCTGGCGAGTCCACTAACGGATTAGGATCGCAGAAATTCGGAGATTTCTCATAAAACAGAAGCTCTAAGTGTTTTGGTATACGTCCATTGCGTTTGATAAGTTTTGTATTGGCACTGTTTGTAATATCGACCTGAAAATAGAAAAGATGTATTTTATTAACATGAACAATATATATATATATAAATATAGGGAGACAGTCTATATGTGTCATTTTTCAGAATATAAAGGTAGCTGCATCGTCTACATATTAATGAAACGTACGAGTATTTACATTGCAACACATATGAATATTGCACCATGCATTTGTAAGTATTATAAATATTATATCAATATCTGCATAAGAGATTTGTAATTACACCCTAGGGTCTTAGACCTCAGTGTCACCTGTACGTTGGTACACCAATCTGATGATGCAGGTTTACTGAAACTAAGCTGTATCAGTGTCATATAATTATACATCTCTAAGTAAGTCCTTCCAAGAGCCTCATGTAAAATGAAAATGACACAATCGATTTGTTGGACGTAGCTATAAATTTGAAAACTTAAAAATATCTTGCCTAGCATGCAGTACACCTGATTTGAACAAAAGTCATTCTGACCTAGCATATTCTTAGGGATACAGTTGTCAATTTTTTGCTTCATATCTAGCCCTCGACAAAATTTATGACTAACAAAAAGTGACGTTGAATATTTATTTTATTTTAGTTTCATTTTATATAGTGAATAGTGGCTGAAATTCAACCCCACCAACTGGTAAATATTTTGAAGAAAATACCCCTATAGAATCTCTATTATCTATACTCTCAGAATATGTTTTATATTTAGACGAATATTTCCCATTAACTCAATAATATACTCCAAAAGCACCTTGACTACCCTTTTGGATTTTAGTCTTGGGGGGCTTTGCTGAAGTGAGCGGTCAGAATTAGAATAAATATTTCATTTGATCTATCCTTAGGGGGTGAGAGGAAGGTGTGGCATGGCACCATACGCCACCGCTAGACGACTGTATCCCTATAGATATGAAATTCAGGTATTGATTAGCTTTTCTTTTGTATATCGATTATTAGGGTATTCTCAGCTCACAAACTGAAGGCTGGTTGTTTACATTAACACACAAAAAAATATATATGGAATATTCACAGCTAATAAAAGGGCAGAACAAATTAGTCGGTCTCAATCCAAAATCGATCCGCAGACTAATTTTGTTATTTTATTATTAACATATCAAGGCATACAAACAAGATAGGCAAAATGTGATTGGAACTGAATTCAATCACCATACGAAACTACGTGTGGTTCTTAAATGGAAATAACCCATACGTAAGTAGTTTACAGCCATTTTTAGTCATGAAAAATTCCCAAGCCTTTTATTTCCACCTAAAAACCTTTCGTATGATCAACCACTAGTAGAAATAATTGATCGAGTCCGACCCATCGCGATGTTCGGTATTACATAGGCTCTAAAAGGAATAATACATGTCCTTTTCTGAATTTGTAAGAGGAATTCTCTGTTCCAGAAAATTTGAAGTATAATCCGTACAAGCATTACAATTCTTTTAAACAAAGTCTCGTCAAAAACATGACAAAATTAGGAGTAATAGTTGTATACTGGTGGACTCCTCTGAAGGATCATCAGGTGTTTCGAGAAGAGAAAGCATGTTCTGCAGAGTTTCGTTTTAGAATTTCAACTTATGCTAAGGGGGGCAACTACTGATATTGGAATAATAAGAGTTTAAAGATGGTTACTTCCCTTGAATCATACAATTTAGTATGTCTGCAAAAAGTTAAGAAACGTAAAGCATCCCATAGCACAATGATCTTTGAAGAAGTTTAAGATGTTACAGAGCAATACATATACCTCACGGGAAGACGTTTCAGATGTTACAGCACAATACCCATGCTAAGAATGAGAATCAAACAGTACCTGTACCTTGGTCGCCCTATCGTACTTCTTCTTCAGTATAGTTCCCACTGCCCGGAAGTCTGGAGCTGCTTTCCAACAGGTTTTCAGTTCACAGCTTCCAGACATACCGTGGCACTTACACTGTTTACGTACATGTCGAATGATGGCCTGGAATAAAGAACGACCACTTATGGTTATGTGGTAAATGCAGTGATTCAACAAGATATAAATGGCGTCGGCTAAAGAGACAAAGAAGTTCAGTACTTTTACTATTTTGTTTACTTTGGGTATATTCAAATGCTGACGTTGGAACACAAAAATGTTTGGATCCGAGGATCCGAGGAACTGTGGTACCCAAAACTTACCAATCGACCAGCTCTGTTGTTATGGAGATTAATTTGAGCATGAATATCACGACTGGTACGTTCTTTGGAATCGAGGAATTTGGAGGCATATTTTGCCCCGAAATTGATATTGTGGCTGCAACCACCCCATTCAAAGTTCTGTTGATTACCATAAACACTCATGTCGCATCCACAAGATTTGAGCTTTCCCATACTACAAGCTTTCGAAACTTGATGAGTTACTCCGGCTGACGATATGGCGTATGCGAAAGACGTTTCCTTATAACCTGCAAATGTAAAAGAATTCGGTTTTTATTAATATCAATCGCAGAGTGTCATCAGGCAATTCGGAGGATGGAGCATGTATTTGGGTTTTGGCAAAAGGGTTGAAAGCTTATTGAAGCCGAACTGTCAACACAAGAAGTCTAGCACTAGTACTAGTATTATAAAGCACGGAATATGTTGCCTTTTTTACACCACCCACTTCAATCCTCAAAGAAATGAAACAGTATTAAGTGAACAGTATTTAGAATGTGGCATCGATATCAAAGAGAGGTGATTTCCAAATTTATGGACGCGGATGAACCCACCCGTAAAGCAATATAACGACTCACGATGTGACTATACATTCCAAAGCATATTATATGAAAAATTACATTGCTGCTGTATAAGCCGTGTGTGTTTTTCATCCACCCACTTTAGTTAACTGCTCTAGACTATTTAAATATTATCTTAAGTTTGAATGGAATTTTATTTGAAACATGGCATCGATATAAACAGGGTTAATTCAGTGCTGAAAAACGACACAAACCACAAAGATAAATAGAGACGCTAGAGGGCACGACAATCAAAGAAAATCTTCAAAAAACAAAATGGCGTGCCACAAAGTTTTTAAACCGCAGTAACCTTCTATTTAAAACACAGACACAGAATATACTTAAAACGAGCTGGCGGCAATTTCTTGGAATGAAAACAATAACTTGTGTATAGAACGTCTTTGTGAAATATTAAAACATAATTTCGGCGGAAATGACGCAGGCTCTAGGAACATTGTGACATTTATTAGACAGAACAATAAGGTGTGTTCACATGCCATTAAGGCAACATGATTATCTGGCGTAGTGATTCAAATGGTGGTCAACTAAGATCGTGTCCGTTATTTCTATGTAAGAAGGACAAGTAGTTACGTTTGCAACTGGTTTCAATTGGCAATGTTCTGACCAATAGCCAGGTTGGTAAAAACAACAAACTGAATATAGTCCCTAACCCTCTAGAGAGTTGTAAATTGTTTATATCCAGTAGATTCTCCCACTCATACTTCAACTTACAGTATAATGAATGTTATTTTGATCTTTTGGTACATCAAGCGTGGGAGTGGATGCTTGACCACATTTTTTGATTTTGGAACCGCACGTCGAAGGAATGATTTTGTGAATGAATGAATGAATTTGTAATAGAATGAATTTAAGATTTTTTAATTAATTGAATGAATGAATAAATAAATAAATATCTGAATGAATAAATGAATTTTTGATATAATGAAGTAATGGATGAATGAATGAATTGCAATAGGAGAACAATTACCTTTTGAAAGCAATGGACTAGAATGCGGATTTTTATTCTTTCTCTCTAACGATGAACAATTCCAGCGGTATTCAGCTAGCTGAAACTGACATTCGTGAATGGCGACTTGAACTCCTTGAATAGCAGACGCCGTCACATCCGGGTATTTACGACACAAATCGTATTGAGCTTCCGACAAATCAGGATACGTTTTACAAACTGTGTTAGGGTCGAGCTTTGGAATTTTTGGTATTTTCAATCTCAGGATACTATTTGCTGAACTTCTGAAAAAATGTAAATTTGGTTCGGAAAAATCAAATTAAAAAAAATTCCGATAAGAATGTAAGGGGGTTTCCGATAATATTGTGTTCATACGATTTTACATTAATGTAATTGAATTAAATTTAGTTTCACTCTTAGATTTATTTCATAATTTGTGCATAATTGATTACATTAGTCCCACTGAAACATATCACTTTAAGGTTTAAGCAAATATTTAGACGACTACACCCCTTAATCAATGTTAATAATAGGTTATATTGGTTTGTCACCGTAAATTACTAATGTAATAGATTTTATTACACACAAATATATATTTTATTGTAATGTTATAATACTGAGCTATGTTAACTATGCCGTTAACTCGTCATCATAAGATCACAATCTTAATCATTTTAAAATAGGCCCACCAAGTTACACTTAATTAATGCTGAATATACAAACAGGCGTGCGATGGTAACACAATATATGGTGTGTTCGATTCATCGAACCGGAACAATACCTTGACGCCGAAATAACCCTTTGCTTTTGTAACCTCAGTCACCCTTCGATATAGGTAATGATTTGCGCGATATGCTTACGATCCAGACTGGATAACCCAAGATGCTATTTGTAAATTAATTGCCGAACAGTCCCGCGACAAGCACGACCATTACCTTGAATTGCTCTTTCTGGATGATATGCGTTTAAAAAAAAGACTGGAACATGACCACATTCCCGAAAATATAACAGTGACGTAATATTCACACCTAGCATTATCAATCAACGTTTGTTTCAAAACATTCAAGAATAACAACGGGTGGGGGGGGGGGGAGGGGGGAGGGGGGTTCTGCTTTAACAATATTTTTATTTCAACATTTTCCATTAAAACAACGCTTTAGTATTTTAAATGACCGCCTTTGAGAACGAAATATCACTAACTTGAACTGGAGAATAAGAATTACTCAATGTTAAATACATTGCTAGAAATGCATGTGATAAATGTTTGTATAGGCATTACATTCTTCAAACCTATGGCCATAACTTCCAGAAAAACAAAATCGAAAATGCTCAAATGCAAAATCGTCCTTTTCAGAAAAAGAATTACTTACTGAATTAGTGGCAAGCTAGCCACAAATAAAACAGACACAGCTAGGAGCATCTTCAACCTCGCACCATCCATCCAAAATTCTTCATCTTCTTCTGTGAACACGTCTTCATTTTACGATATTTTGGCGGGCATTGCGTATATCATATCGAACTGTTGATATATGGAAAGTCCCGTATTATAAAATCCTTAAAACACCTTGTTCCACTTTGCGATTTTAGATTCAACAGCTTGTAACTCAGTCAGGTTAGAAAAGACACAAAAACACACAAAAACTCTTAATGAATGGATTGTCCTAGACAAGGTGTGGTATACCAGCACCAGTTACCACTCTGCTATTGTGCTTAATAATTTTTAATAACATTTGCTGATTGGACTCTTAGATTTAAGTTACAAAAGTTCAAGAACACAGCACTTCCGGTTTGGTAAAATGTAACCTAGTCTCTTGTAATCCTGTCTATATGTTTCTGTATAGTGTGGATACCGAAAGATACCGAAAGAAATTAATCCATTGAAAAAACTTTGTTGTAATGATCAACAGTTAAAACAATTCCGATCACACGAATCATATAACACGTTTGAAACTATTTTAATACTATACTATTTGATACTGTTTTTAAATCCTTTGTGATTGTGACACAGAAGGTCAAATTACAAAAATTTTGAACGACTTCATCTCACTCAATTTGTAATTCACGATATTTCTATAACTATTATTCTGCACCAAAAATGTTAGAGCCCGTAAAACTAAAACAAATTCTAGGTTTGATTTGTTTCGAATCAGATCACAATCGTCGAGCGCCGAAGAGAAGCACTTCATCCGTGTAGTTGCTGCTTCTTATTTCCGTCATCAAAATCTTTGGTTAGACCTTCCCAGAATGTATCCAAACTACATAGTATATCCTTTAAGAATCTCCAAAATGTATCCCACGCGACCAGGCGGATTATCTTTTTTGTGTGGTCAGATCTTATCTCTTCAATGACCCTTCCTAAAAATCATCAACGGCAATAAAAAAGGAAACATCCGTTTGTTAGTAGGTTTGGATTACGATTTATATAAGTAGTTTCACGTCACTGAGTGTGATTCATTCGAGCACATTACACCCCACAGCCGTCAATTTCACTTTAAGCAGCTGAAATTTGAAAACGGTCTAGCAGACGATCTGGCTAATTCTCAATAAAAATTAAGCTAATTTGTGTCTCAAAACACAACATATACGTTGACGAAGCTCCAAAATATACACAAAGCGTTCCTTTGATGTGTAAGACTAACTTTCTAAGATCTCGCCGATAATAAGCATATGTATGTAATCTACTTTGTGATATATTTTCGTTTTGGGGTTAAGATACTCTTCTCACTTCCGGTTGCAGTCAAATTCAGTTCAAATTCCATAAACCTGAAACGAAATTAATAACCAAAAATTAGCTTATTAATCTAAAAGTGTCGAAATAAAATACCTTGCTTCGTGTTAAGATTTTCAGTATACTCGTCTGTCTTCCGGTTATAGTAAAATGCTGCAAATTCCGCAATTCTGAACCGAAGAATTTACGAGATGATGTCTAGTAGTAATTTTTGATGGTTGATATTGAGACTAATTAAAGCAAGGCTTAAGATGGTTGAAAATGAAAGATAAAAAAGTAACGGATAATTGAACGGGGGTGGAGAGATAGGAATTGGCGGCCATTAAATTAATACCTAAATTATGTTTTCAGACTGGACTAATGAAGTGTATGATAAGTAGCAAATTAAAGAGTAATATAACTATCTAGTTTCACTACGTCTTGTAGGTTTCAGTCAAACTGTCAAAACGTAGGATGTAAATTTCGTTAAAAGCCTCCACAAATTTTTAGACCGTGGAAACCTAATTTGAACCCATTGTGGAATAGCGAAACCCAAAGATGAGCCTATAACAGCCTCTTTGGGTTTCGCTTGCCCACATTTCGTCCTTGTTATATCACACTTTGATTAGTTTGAAATAACGTTATTAGAACAGAACAGTGGAACTAACTCGTTAGATTACAATGAAAACGAAACAGAAAAAAAAAGAAACTAAAATGAAATCTTAGATAGATTGGTCTTGAACCTATTTATCCTACGTTTATAAATTAGTGCATATCCTTCCTAGGCGATATTATAAAGGAAATTGTTAAAGGAATTCTAGTTTATGCCTATCATATTAAATTTTATATTAGGAAACCAAAACCTAGGGAATAAGTATAACTATCTTGCCTATTTCAAAACTTAAACAATATCAATACCATTAGAAAGATGGAACTAAATGTTTTATGACGTAACCCCCGCAAAACTTGCTTGCATTACATAAGACTTTTGTGGGAGTTGCGTCATAAAACACACAGAGTATTAGCGGAATTGCAGGAACCCCAAATGTCTGATTGAAAATTGGAATGGTGCAAATTGATGCTATCAGTGTCCCTGATACACATAAAAAAAAGTTAAAAATCCTCTTTAAACGTCCCTTAAAACATACACTATGCCTTCGTTGACAATATTCCGAATATCCAAAACCTAGCTCGCCAAATTCCAGAAATTAAAAACCTATGATATTATATTGGTACAAGAACTACAATGATTTCACTCATATCTATATCGTTAAATAATCATTTCAAAACCAATACAATACTTCGACAAGTTCCGAACATACAAAACCTAGGATATTATAATGGTATAATGAGCCTACCTTGATTCCCAATCATTAACACATATCATTGTTTTTGATAATAAGAATTGACACTAAAATCTTTTCCATACCTACTTTGACCAATACCAATCACCCAAATTCTAGCTCGTCGAGTTCCAGAAATCAAAACCTAGGAAATTTAATTGGTATAAGACATAACTTGTCTTATCAAAACATATCAGTATCCTTAATAAATCAAATAAAAACCTATCCCATACACCCATATCTATATGGTTTAATTATTCAAAACCTTAGTATTACTACTAGTCACGTGACCACAACTCACATATTATAGTATCATATATTTAAAGTTCAGTTTGGTCCACTAATTAATATTCAAAGAAAATTCAAAAAATGGTATTGTGAACTCTCTGAAAGGGAATGACACGGCACAGGTTTGATCGTTTGAACGGGAAAATTAACTGTTAATACTTGTTAAAATCTGAATTTCAGTTGGCAAGTCTCGTCACAGAGTGAAATAATGTGCTCTAGGTTGAGTATGTTAATTAAAATCATATTCAAATTTTCGTTTTGTATAACGATCACTGTATTGTACTGTAGAAATATTTAGTTGTTGGCATCTCGCTCCTTTTCGGTGAGTTCACTTACTACGGACATACGCCTGAAGTTTTATTATAGCAAATCAAAACCTAGCTGCCCTGATGAAGATTTTATACCCAAAACGTATGTCGGCAGTATTACATAATATTGCCATATTCAAATCGCACATTCGATAATTTCTCAGGGTCCTTAAAATACTTCACTGTGGAATTCTTTGACTTAAGTGTTTAATTAATTTTGAGTAGAAATAACAAATTTCTTAAAATTCCAGACAAATGTGATTTAAGTATTGCTTTATGAAGTCTATATTTTTTGCGATAATAGCACCAAATTAAAGTATGAAATCAATGTTGATGTTGAGTTGACTAACCCAGTTGCAGAGTGATACCAGGTGCCCTGCAATTAGAGGTTGGATATGGGTTCTGGAGCCTATATAATGATAAGATAAACCCTCAAAGTGTACTAATGTCATATTGGCTTTGCTCACAAATGTGAATCCCAACAATAAAGGCCAGAAGTACTGTCACTATCGCCTGTGTGATCTTCAGATTCTGTATTTGAATTATAGACGAACGCAACTTCAGATTTAATTTTGATATTTTTTTAAATACTAAAATTGACTATGGTATATGTCTTAAAAAATTATTTAAAAATCTTAAACTGACC